GGCGGTGAAAGTGTGTCAAGTCGGCCCCAGGCAGTGCGAGCCGTCGGGTTAAAAGGTCGTCATTCCAATTACTTCAGCTCAGCAGTGCAAATACAGTCGAGTCAAAATATTCTCATTTAAATTTATCTCCGGCTTCCTGGCTGACAAAGCCAAAATTATGGGGTTTTGTCAAGCACTGTATTAAGCTTCGCTGAACCCTCGAAGGTGACAGTGGTCAGAGTGGGGGCTAATGAATGCACGTTCTACTCGCTAGGAACTTGGCAAATGCACTGAGCAGTACCCGTCAAAGCCAAACAAGGGTCATAGCTTACAGGTTAGATATCGTGCAGGAAAGTTTAGCGCTTTCCCTAATCTGCAGCACGAGCTTTCCCCCCCCCCCCCCACCCACCCATGCAACATTAAGTTGGTACGATTCAGAATAAAAAATGAGAATGAGATTTAGATGTATATTCTTTTCGATTTAAAGCTTTCGTGTCTGCAGGGATTCATCTTCTTGATTCTTTCGGTAAAGTCACGTAGAAGAGAAGTAATAAAATAATAAAAATAAAACATAATAAAATAATTCTCACGACGTTTCGGCCACAACGCAAGCAGCCGTCCTCAGGTCTGTCGGGGAGACAGCGTCTGAATGAATTCAGACGCTGTCTCCCCGACAGACCTGGTCTTTACCTGAGGACGGCTGCTTGCGTTGTGGCCGAAATCTCGTGAGAATGATTGTATTTCGTTTTATTTTTATTATTTTATTACTTCCCTTCTACGTGACTTTACGGAAAAAACCAAGAAGATGTATATTCTTGGTTCTTTCGGTAAAGTCACGTGGAAGGGAAATAATAAAATAATAATGAATTAAATTATAAAATTCTCACGACGTTTCGATTGCAACACAAGTGATCATAATCAGGTGATCATCATCAGGTGATGATAATTGCTTGTGTTGCAATCGAAACGTTTTGAGAATTTTATTGTTGTATTTTTTATTATTTTATTATTTCCCTTCTACGTGACTTTACCGTAAGAACCAAGAATATGAATCCCTGCAGTCACTAAAGCTTTAAAACGAGATTTAGATGCCTTATATTACAATGCTTCCATATTTAATATTACTAGACAGATTACTTATATTACGATTGCTTTCATATTTAATATTACAAGACATCGTGAGAAGTCAAAGAACATTTTATAAAACGCTAATAATAATTATTAGTATTAATTTCAACTTTGAGTTAATTCACTGCTGGATGAAGCCCTCCTCACACGGTATCAGTTGCGGGTGTTGTTTGACCATACTTCACTCTGATTGTCAGTGAGAGATGCGATGGGGAGGAAGGCTAAGGACGGACTCAGATGTCACTCGCCACCGATGGTAGCTATGAGCGGGAATCAAACTCGGCTCAACAGATTCGCGGTGCAGTGCGCTGTTGTAACAGGCGTACAGTACAATAATGACATTAAAATTCAAAAGTGAAAATGGAACTTTCCAATGAACTGCAACAAAAGGCGAGTTTTGAAAAAGCTGCAGATTACGTGCAAAAGTTTCTGCCGATGTAAATTGCAATTAAAATGAGAATGTGGATACAAAAAACAAAGCCATTGCTTTAATGTGCCACTCAGAAACAGGTCACTCAAACTCAAAAGCGGTAATCTGTCCTCAAAAACCTGAAAAAGTCAAGATCCCTTCCAAACTGCTGCAAACCACACGCTTCGATAGTGCACAGTGCCATGTAACGCGCAGTGCCATATGAACCCGTATAAAACTGATACACAGCATTTGCTGAAAAAGCCTGCATTGTTGGGTCACGCACAGAGGTGCATGTGGCCAGGGGCAGTTAGCTGTAATGCTCTCGTAATTTCTTGTTCGTTCACTGTTATAGGTAGGGCCAATAAAAATCTAGGTGAGTGCTTTAAATGCAAAACACAGTTGCATGAAGTGTGGGGTCAAATCATCATCATCACCACCACAAAAGTCGATAAGTTTCCCATAGGAATGGAACACACAGAGCATCAGGTGCTAATATTAGGCTGAGTTGGTCCAAGTGAGGGCGCAGCCCATTTCACAAGCCAGTTTACGTTTCAAGTTTCAAGTTAATTTTTTTAAATTAGGTGAGAACTCAAGAAACAATGATGAGTCTCATTTTCAAGAGTCGCCCGAGTCACCAAAGTTGCCAAAGGAATATAGAAATGTTTTAAAGTATCAAGCCAATATAATTCAGTGTATGTGTGTTGTATACACGTTGCAGCGTGGGTGTTTATGTGAGCACGTGTGTTATGTACGCAATGCATTATGTATGTGCGTGTTGCACATCACATCATCGTCCCTCTCACGAGTAAACACACACGCACACTTAAATAAAATAAAAACAAAGATCCCCCATGCACAAATACACATACACACAGATGTACTAAACACAAAGACAAATATCCCCCGTATGGCCTACATTCCATAATTAATAGTTCACAGATCGACTGCCAATGCTATGCATGGTCAGGCCTATATTGCAGCTTATTGTTCTAAAAGCGACCTCACCACCCACCATATAATATGTAAGCAGTAAACACATTCACACACTTAGGGATGCACTGTGTGTTAAGTCCAGGTATATATAGAAATCGTGCTCCCGTCTAAAAGAGCTATGTCCGTATGTTCAGACGGTGGTCCAGGTTGCAGGTTTGGAAGGTCCAGGTATGATAGAAGTGTGTTCTTAACGGGATGTAATGCATCCGTTTTAAATATGCTTTTCCGACTCTGCATCATAAATAGTACGGGTTTGTAGGCCACTGTGTGCCCTTTAAAAACGATCCATCGTGCAGCCAGTACCCTTCGGAAACTTGTAAACTTTGGTGGTGACAGTTAAGCGATGCTACAGCCATGCGGGCCAAACACAACCCCGTAACTTTATTAGCATGTGTGACTTCACAAACGTATACCCAATTTGTTTAAAGAGTATTTTTGAATGGGAAAGGGATGGAGTGCTTGCGAAAAAGTGTACGCGTACGTTGCATAAACATCGACAGTCTACAGCGAGAGGTCGCAACTGGGTACCCGATACCCGTACCCTACCCGATACCCGTACCCTACCCGATACCCGTACCCTACCCGATACCCGTACCCTACCCGATACCCGTACCCTACCCGATACCCGTACCCTACCCGATACCCGTACCCTACCCGATACCCGTACCCTACCCGATACCCGTACCCTACCCGATACCCGTACCCTACCCGATACCCGTACCCTACCCGATACCCGTACCCTACCCGATACCCGTACCCTACCCGATACCCGTACCCTACCCGATACCCGTACCCTACCCGATACCCGTACCCTACCCGATACCCGTACCCTACCCGATACCCGTACCCTACCCGATACCCGTACCCTACCCGATACCCGTACCCTACCCGATACCCGTACCCTACCCGATACCCGTACCCTACCCGATACCCGGCTTTACAAGCGTGCGCCATCACGCCCCGAGCAAGAACAAAGCGCAGCGCGATGGGTAACCGACAATAGATTTCGCATGACAATATGTTTCGTGAGATTTGTGTATACGTGTCAAGAAACTTGCAGCATTCATGGGTGCACGCAGTGCCGTTTTGGCTGCATGCCCACTCCACCGAGTCCGACAAAAGTGTGCCCGAGTGACACAAATGGGGCGGCGAGTTGAGGCGAGCCGTGGTGACGGTGGCGTTTAACGTCCCTTTTAGCAATGCCGTGTCACTCGCAATGGAAGCGGGGCTGGAGAAGGCAGCAACCCCCGCCTCCACCCCCCCCCCCCTTGCCACCTTTCACATAGACAGTCCTCTTGCCCCTCTAACCCTACGCTGTCAGTCCCCTTCAAGGAAGAGACAGGCAGGTGTGGAAGTTCACACAATCTCAACACCGAAAAAGGCTTGAAGAGGATGCAATAATACACGCAGCTAGAATTAGTGCAAACGAAAGCGGACACGGAGGTTATGATGATTGTCTTCATAATGAGGGATTAACATTGAACACCAGGAATCCTAAGGGTGACTTTTACTCTGAGTCTCCGGTATTAATACAGAGCCAACACATGTTTTCGTGGTGCCTTGGTCTGGTTGCATAGGCCTCAGGCATTAACCATGAGCCGGAAGAATGCTAAAAATGCCTAAGTCTGACTCTCAGACCCTCCGAAATTAACCGAACATTTCTAAGTGTGCCTTTGTCTAGCCATTATTATTAAGAAGCATTAGAGTGCATTACTGTAATGGTTATTTTATATGTTTATATTAATAATGAATGTAAGAATCCTAATGGTGACTTCGCTTGGTTAAATGGGCTTTGGGCATCAACACAGAATCCTAATGGTGATTCAGTCTGCCTCTCAGAGTGTCAAACATTAACAATGGACTTTAAGAATTCTAGAAGTGCTTTAAGGCTGGTTCTCTGAGTCTTGGGTGTTCATACAGAATGAGTAACGCTGACGTTCACAATTCTTGGTAGTTGTTTGGGTCAATGCATATGTAATAGTATTCGGACCCACAGAGTGCATAATCCAGACCTGAAATAGCACATTTTAAATCTCAAATCCATTTGACTGCTCCTTGTGCATGATTGTGTGCAGTTGAATGGCGGTAAACATACGGACAAATATCGTCAATATAGCCTTCTAAACCATACTATTAGTAAGCAATGAATTATAATTATAAGCATACAGTTCACAAGAGGTTGGTTTAACAAGCACATATCCTGACCACCTTCCTCTTTGCAGTAATGAAGATCACAGACACATCTCGGGCCTGTTAACCCCACAACTCCTGGGTCCGTCTAGTGACCTCGTGCCGACGATTTTTTCTGCCGCTCCACGCAGACCCTGAAGTGCACCAGGCCTGGCGCAACTGCCATGGTAACGTCACCGCGATTTAGTGACCAACGGCAGCTGATGCAGCCGCCGCTGCGCGCAATCGGCCTACTGTGAGTCAGACCTTCGTTAAACCCCCCCCCCCCCGCCCGGGGTGCCGAATGTTGCATTCTCACCGTCGATGCTCATCCCCACGGTCGGCCGGAGGCACCGTCACGCACTCATCGTGGCCGTGGAATAACCTCAGCACATCGCCTCCAATCAGGTAGCCTGCCGCCAAGACCAGGGCAAAGGGGAGCGGGCGGACACGAGTCGAGGTGAGCGCAAGAGATGTGTGTCCTCGCAAAACCTGAACATGTTTTTGGAGTCCGTGAGCATTGGCATTAAGAGGCTGCCGCGGTGTAACAGTTATCACGCTGGACTTGAAGCCGAGAGACCTCCTGGCGTGGACATTGTGATCTCTCAGTCACGAAAACTTCAAATTAGAATTAATCGTAGGGTCCATGATAACACGTGGGGAACATACCTTGGGCCATCTCACTCCCAGAGCACACAGGAGACACGTTCCACAGTGTTTGCTGGAAGGAGGCATCCACGTGGAGACTGCCGTTGGCGTGCGAGAGATGCTGCAGGAAATGGGACAAGCGCATGATGAAGAGGGGCGGGTTAACAGGAGTATCTCCCCTGCGGACATCAATGACGGTCGCATCACATCATTGCCGCACACAAACGCTGCTATAGCATTTGGCCAGGCGGCACTGTGATCACAGTGCTCAACCCATAGTCAGTGTGTCAGGATGTCAATTCCCAATCAGATATCGACTCTACCCATTATTGCTCCAAGGGCAATACATTCTGTACATTTTTATTGCTTTATGTACAGACGCCAATGTTTATCCTTTGGGAAGCCTGAGAATGAGGAATTTCCACTTTTGGCCCATGGCCACAACAGAGATGAATATCCCCCAATGCTATTGTGAGCATAGGACACTTTGATTACCCGAGTCATGCCATAATTCTGAGAGCAATACACAAGACACAATATGCCAGATATGCCAGCCTCAACCTCGACACATGTGCACGTAAAACAAGGTTCAATTATATAGAAAAATGTGTACAGTCTTAGGAATATACTAAAGATGTTTAGCCTCCTTTATCTTTGAGCTGCAGCAAGAAACAATATATCACCATCACTCAGTACCAGTCAGAGGGAGGTCAATAGTGTGCTCATCCTTTGCAGAGATTGGCTTAAAGCCATTGATGAAGATGAGCACTGCCCAACACTCATGCGAATGGAGAAACATTCCAGATTTTAAATTCAGCAGAAACATCAACACCTATCAACAGACGTCATACTGACACGTGATTCACCCCTCCACGCCCGCGACATTTTTTTTTTGCGCATGCGGGTTTAAATACTGTGCGTTGCCAAGAGACCATTACGTGAAACAGAATCCAAAGGGCAAACAATATCTAACTGTGATGTGCATTAATAAATAATTCCGCCCAAGCGAGGGAGCAATTGAATGATTGGGCAAATGCTTAGTGAGCAGAGGAAGGAGGCCAGGCGAAACGTGACGCCACTCGGCAGAGGCGTGGAGGGGGAGACTAAATACATAAATTCACCCAAGGGGGGAGGAGAGGAGGATGAGCGTAAATAAATAATTCCACCCAAGCGAGGGGCAACTGAATGATTGAGCAAATGCTTGTGGGCAGAAGGAGGAGGCCACGTAAAACGTGACGCGGAGGAGAGGAAACTCGTACCAGGTATCTCTCCGAGGAGATGCTGACCAGGATGAGGTCATCTCCAACTCTGACCTTCTCGCCCTCGGAGCGCTGCTTGGACGCAGGGTGAATGGTCCACCAGCAAGCCTCGCCTGCACAGCAACATGAGCCCCTTACTTCAGAGCACCATCGATTATCCATTCGCGATTTTTTACACATGCATTTCTTGTGTCAGTCTCAGATTATGTGAGCGTGTGTGTGTGTGCCTTTGTCTTTGTGTATTTTGCTTTGCGTGCCCGAGTTACTGATTTTATGTCCAAAAATGTAACGAATAAAATTGAGAACATGGCCATCGCCAGAGCAACGTGGAACTTCCAGATGCAGCTCAACCGCGAATACTGTGACTTGGGCCAAACGGATAAGATCCACAAAGTATTGTGTGCTTGGAACACCATTCAGGTTTGTTGTAACAATGAAAACCCCGTGTGCAGTTAAAGGAATCGCATGTCACCACTGTTATTAGTACTTATTAAAAAAAGCGGCTATGTTTTGCTTTCATTTGCATGTTTTTTTTACTGAAGTGATTTACTCTTTTAATTTTACTTATTTTACATTATCCTGTTCGCGCTGTTGTAATTATGTTACTAATTAAGTTACTAATGCGTCAATTGCCATTCTCTTCTCTATAATGCAAGCCTTATAATAATGCTTCCATATCTCCATGGGTTCGTAAGGGTAAAAAAAACCCTTCAATATTTATGCCACGTGATTATTATAAATAATGCGAAATGTATTGGCTATACATATACATAAATACAAAAATTAAGAAAAGCCTCCAAAATCTCCCACAGATTTCCACATGCATCTGGCCAGCGCTGCCCATGCAGCGATTAGAAAGAGGATTGTCACTGGCATGCCTTCTCGATACGACAGATTACAAATTCAGCGTCTCGCTGCACATCTGTAGGAACCTGAGCAAAACCACGTGAGAAGGAGATGCTTGCTACCGTGCAGGATTGTGCATTAATTACAGTGATTGTAGATACAAATGTGAACATGAGGCCTCCCTATGCTATGTCGCCTTATGTGGGTTATTTGACCATATTTCAGCACACTGATCATTGTGGTTTGACAGAGAGACTGGCTCAGGACCAATTCAGATATGCCGAGCCATGGATGATAGTTGCGGCTAGGAAATGTACCGAGGTTTGTTGGGTTCATAGCACGGTCAGCTCACCACTGTGAGCTCACTTTCCCCTTTGGCATTGAATCATCGTATGAGGAGCACAGTGAGTACACCTTAGTACAAGCAATGCAGGTATTCCTATATGTACTTTGCATATGAATGCACCATCATGACAATAAAGAAGCAAATTATTTTATTTCAAATCATCCCATTTTTTCATTCAGTTGCAACGAATCTCTCAGTTAACCTACGTGCAAGTAGATCAGCCCATAATTCCTCCAGGGTAGATTGTAGTACCACTCCGTGAGAAGTCTACAGTGGATTCTTCATAGGGAATGTGAAGTGTATTAATTCATGGCTGAGGCCTGCTAACCGATGAACACCGATCGACACTCACTTGAGACACTTTTGAACGTGCCAACAATGACTACCGAGTCAGAAGGCAACATTAGCTGTCCTATAGAGAGATCGGCTCCTGTCATGACAATGTCAAATTTCCATCATTAGCTCAAGGCCGATGATGCCAATGAGTCCCACCACAAAGGTCATTTTAGCAAAGGAGGCACTTTTTGGGCTTTTGAGTCTTGTGTCTGGTGCAGTGGAAGTAGTTCAATGTGCTGTGGCATTGCACTGCAGAACAATGTAATGCACGGCAATGCCATGCACAAAGCAGTAGAGGATGGCGGTGTGGACAAGTGTGCCGTGGTGTGGTGCCATGCAGCGTGGAGCGGTCTAGTGTGGACCAGTTGACCTGTGGTATCTTCCTGAAGACCAACGTCAAAGGCCAGCTTGTCTGATGATGAGTGGGATGTCCGTAGGCAGCTCAGGTACTGAGCAGGTGCACATGAGATGAGAGAACACAACGCAAAGCAGAGGTTTCAAGACACAGGAGAAAATCATTGGAGGGCACAGTATTATTCGTCTTAACAGTTTATTACGTGAACGAACTGCGACACCAAACGAAGACCATGCGAAGACAAAGATCCCCTCTTGTCCTTGAAAGGCTGTTTGGGAGCACCTCTTAAGGCCAGCGCTGCATGCATGGGTGGTGGGGCTAACACCCACACATTCCTGGCTGACTTTCCACCGTGCTGAAGTTAACACGCCACGCCAATAAACCATTGAGAAAATCTAGGGAAAGCCCAGGCAATGGTCCGATAACAGATGTGGGCATTGGCATGTACGTAATGATTTTCTGGTTACTGTAATAGGGGAACACAGCAGATTATGTTGAGGCCAACACATGTATTGCACCATTGCTTGCCCTCCCAGGCACTTGCAAACACAGCACCTTTGGATTTAATAAAGTGAAGACAGTTCCTATTACATGTAGAAATTGCTTGTAACTTATTGAGTACAGAGGCCAAATTAAACGGCTGCAGACTTTGTCGAGGGAGGCGGCAATCGAGTCGCGACCACTCGGGCCAGAGTGAAAAATGAATTACGTGGCAGAACACGTCCTCCCATTAAGTGATTCAGTTGAAAACATTTACAATATCCAACTACACACACATACGTACATACCTACGAATGCAATCAATATCACCATGATTCACCACTAAGAGGCGAAGACGTCACCTCAATGCCCATGCCAGACGTGACGCACACACTGTGTGCACACGAACGCAGTGTCGCACATTAATCCTGGCAACAGAGTCATACAATTTAAGCACTTGAATTATAAAGTCTGGACATCGGTCAGAAGATGTCTATAATTTATGTGAATTGGTCATAGGTTTTATTTTGCATTAAGGCAGTTGAAATGAAATTACCTCCTGTTAATAAAGCTGCCACTCAAAAGACCTTGAGATCCCGATTCTCTCTGTAATGAGCCAAACTAATTAGCATTCTGTTCTGAGAGCTGTAAGTAGTGGATGGACCCTCCTAATGAGCTGCCTGGTGGTTGCTGTCGTTCATCTCGGGCTGCATTCTTCTCCTTGTGTACATTATTACCGTAGTCTCCAGATTTTAAGATGCTCGTGAAAGTAAGATGCACCCCAAACTTGTGCGCGATGCCAATAAAGTTATACAAAACTGGTAACCTGAAGAAAATAATAATAATAATAATAGATCACAACTTTCGGTAAAGTCACCTACGTGAGTTTACCGAAAGAACCAAAGAGTATGGATTCCTGCAGTCACGAAAGCTTAAAATCAAGATTGGTAACCTGAAAGCCAATGCATTGTATACAAAAAAATAAGCTAAGCCTCCTTAACATATTTAGTCTCTGCGCGTACGAAAAAAAATGGGAGCAATTTTTACACAACCCATTGGCCGCACGGCATTCTGGCAGCAGTGGATCAACATAAGCAACTTCTAGACAGATTTCAAACATCCTACATTTCATCAGTAGTCAGGCTTGCTTCGACCGATGCCGGTGAGGCCTGCCCTGCTTATGCTTGAAAATCCAGGAGAACAGAGTGCGTCTTATAACCACGAGAATGCGGTGTATGCAATGCACGTGAGCAATACATCAGAGGGCCTTACAAGCCTAGGGTTAATGTGGCCCCTGCGTCAGCATTTGTAATTAGCCGACGAGGTGGGGAAGACGCCCAATTGATTTATTTTATCTTGGGGAATAACCACACCTCCCCCCCCCTCCCTCAAACATAAACAATGCACAAATAGAAATTTACGACAAAAAAAATGCCTTTTGAATTGCACGTTAGTTCGCGCATACTGTACTCGTTATTGCGAATTAGCCGGCTCCACACATCACCATTAGAGATGCCATCGGACAAAACTAACCTTAAATTGAGACAAATCAAAACCTGCTCATATCACACGCAACTCGTATAGCCTCCCCCGGCAGCATGCTCCCCGAATGGCAAGACGCTACACTCTGGATGGGAACACCTAACACATATACTGTAACTACATAAGTGTCGATGATTTTTTTAATGCAAAATTCCTGCTCAGAGACACCGAGCCAGATTTCCTCAACATAGGCTCAGGTTTTTGTTTCAATTTAGGTCTATTACTCCGATAAATCGCATGCCATTTCATACTAGAAATATTTTCATTTCTGTTATATTTCACTTAGGATGTATCGTTTGTATGAATGTATTGCTTCTCTAGTGGTAAACGTACACAAACTGGAAGTAACTGATTCATACATGCATGAACAACTGCATACCGTACATAATCTGTGTACGAATCAACAGATTTCCTTTTGTTCAACGACGGAATAATGAATCGTGATCTTCCTCTCAATTCTCAATTGAGATTATATCCAGCAGCAATCATCGCTACCCCCTCCCTACTGGCAGCTGTGACTGGGAGTGGCCTTTCTAATGTTGCAGGCGAGATTGCGATACAGGTCGATTGTCGCGTGTTAAGCGCTCTGAGTGAGATGCCCTTGATGCAAAGGGCCCTCTTAAAAAAAAAAACCATTATCGTGATTCCTTAAACAATGACGATTTGAAAAAGCACGTAGATTGCGGATGCTCGACGCGCGTTATGCTGTAAGCTGTTCCCGCACCTCCGATTAGCGCGGTTGGCTACGTATGGTGCGAAAGAAGTTCAACATACATGCGGCGACGCGGAAAACAGCAGCTTCCAGGATTCTGTGATTGGCGGAGCTGGTTGGAGGCACGTTCTCCCATGAAGACACGAAGTATGCAGTGTGTGGGGAAGGGGGGGGGACGGTGGGACTCACCATTCCGCTGTGGGCATGCCGGAGGATGATGGCGTGACCGTAGAGCAGCGTGCGGTGACCACCACCCAGCGCCGTCTGGACGGGCGTCGTGGCGATGCACAAACGCGGCACGCGCGGACACACGCGGGCACACGCACACAAACACACAGGGTCATAATTCCACACAAGTACACAATCGCGCGAGCACCCCCATATGAGCGGGAACACATGCACGCGCAGACACACGCGGGCACACGCACACACACAAGTACACAATCACGCGAGCACCCCCATATGAGCGGGAACACATGTACACGCAGACACACGCGCAGGTACACAGAGCACGTGCACACACACACGCATACATGCACACAAACAGGGAATCACACAAAAACAGCTCATTTAGAAAGTCATCAGCAAACGCCCGTTTTGATTCAGACAAGCTTTCAGGGAATCCCACCTGCCCTTAGTTTTAAAGGAAAAAACACTCACGTCATTATCGTGATAGTTTGGTACGGTGAAAGCTGGGACGAATAACCAGCACCATGGGAGGGTCAGTCAACATAGATTGGCGGTATTCCCATTAACATGCAATTTCAGGGTCTACATTGACCGTGGTGTCACAACACAGGCTGAAAACACTTTAAAGGTAAAAAAAAAATGTTCAGCCCCTTCTGTCAATCTACCGTTAGATTTTAAGGCATTCCCAAATCGTGTCAGTCAAAGAGATGTGTTTGCCCATACGGTATCATGCTGGTCTGTGCGTGGCGGTGAAGGGAATGAAGTCCAAGACCTGTACAGATATTGTGTCCTACTCGTCTCAACCCTGGCCAGGAACCAAACTCGGGGTGCAGGGTTCATAGCACAGTGTGCCGACCACCGCACCACCGTTCCATCCCCTTTACTTTACCAATACAGGACTTTGCCACAGTGGTAAATAAAAAAAAACACTGGCTCGTAACAGACAAAATATATATTTACATGAAACAGCCAATTTCACGATAACAGTATAACTCAGGAAGAGCCACTGAAAAAATATAATTTGATACTTTTTTTAAAGTCCAAAGACCGCATTTGTTAATGAAGATGTTAATAAAGTGTTTTAACTCTTAACTGGTTGTTTAATCAGATTCAAATAATGGCGTTAGAAGCAAAGTGCCATATGCAATATTAATTTCCACACTTTTGGTTGTACACAACCTGAACACTGATCGATGCACTGAAATTTCACTCGGTGCAGATTGCGTAACACCGCAACACGGGACCCCCGCTCCAACATGATCATGCGTGGTGTTTACAAGGCATGCCGAGGGTAATATTGGCATGTGCAGAGTCAAATATTTCTTGAATTAGCCAGAGTGAGTTAGTAGCAGGTCATGTCACCTGACCTGCTTCGACAAGTCAGGAGACCCACAATGCAACTGTAGAGTACCAACCACAGCCTTAGGACAACACAAACGCCACATCGCATGTCACCTCTGACACGACGAACAGTTCAACGCCTTTCACACACCGCCGTCGAAAAGTATGTTCTGTCTGTGAATTTTTGCTCGTTTGGTTTCTTGCAATGATTGTTTTCTTACCTTCATCATGAATTTCTGTTAGCGAAGCAAAACACAAAGTGAAGAGAGCGACTTAGACATCTCACATGAAACGAATTAAACATCACAAGGGTTTCATTTCGATTTAATGCTTTCGTAACTGCAGGGATTCATCTTCTTGGTTCTTTCGGTAAAGTCACGTAGAAGGGTTGGCCTGTGCGCACTCGGGGTTGAAACGTTGCAGAGGTGGGACAAAGTCATTGTCATGCAAGTCCAAGTCGAGTCTGAAGTCATCAAATTCATGACTCGAGTCTGACTCGAGTCCAAGTCACATGACTCGAGTCCACACCTCAGAGGTGGGACAAAGTCATTGTCATGCAAGTCCAAGTCGAGTCTGAAGTCATCAAATTCATGACTCGAGTCTGACTCGAGTCCAAGTCACATGACTCGAGTCCACACCTCTGAAACGTTGTGACGCAAAACAAATGCACTCTACAAATGATGCAGCCTGCTTAATGTGTAATTCAATAAGGATTATTATTAAACAAACAAAAAATGGTTGCACGCGTGGCCGCGAACGCGCACGTTTAACGAGTTTCTAAGCGCAACCGAAGTGCGCGTTAACAGCCTCTGCCTCGATTCATATCACAGCCCAACACTTTCTCAGCTGTGGCTTCTCCACGCAGAGGCGGCTAAGCCTTCACGAGGGGGTGGATCCTATGAGATATCTTCTTTACCAGTGGCAAAATATAGTAGTAGGTTTTTACCCTTTCAACTGGTACAAAAACTGACACCTTTATACAAGGCATCATATTTGCAATAACCACAACACAAGCAGTCAAAATGCAAACAAAAAGAAACAACTCTGATGATGATAATGATGTGCACTGCCCTTGAAGTTGATTGGTCCACACCCGAGACAGCTTTTCTTAGAGCCTAGTCTCCATTGGTGTTGGACCAGATGACGCCAAAAGGCGCACAACTCAAAGACAGCGCACTATCAGAGTATTAAGAGCTCGGGGTAAGCATTTGCACTATGAGACATCTCCTTTACCAGTGGCAAAATATAGTAAGGGGTGGATCATTCGTTGCCTGCACCATACACAGCCATTGCCTATAGAAGTGTCAGTCTTTAACCACGCCGTGCCCTCGCCATGCAGCCCTTCTCATCAGGGTTGCAATCCCTTAAACTGCACACACAGGTGCTGCCTGTGACAGCATCTGTAGTCAGTCACGTGAAACTTGCAAACAAACAGATCTGCCCTGCTCGTAGTTTGACATACATTGAAGGCAAACCCAAGAAACAAAGACATTTTGACATATTTTTACAAATGTCAGATTTTACATTTATATAGGTTTTTCATGTATACAGCATATATAATTCCTGTTATAGTTTTCTGTTATATATGCTTCAAAAATGTATCACGTTTCTGTTAAGACTGGAGCAATTCATTGCATAGTCAGACAGGGCACCTACCACATTCAGCTGTATGGCACATGCAACTATGAAAGGTAAAAGTCCAAATTCATATCCTAACGGCAACTAACTACTAGAGTCTATTAAATTGGACACTCGCTCTTCCACTGACAAAGAGTCAAACACTGGGTTCTGTTGATGTAAATAATGTTCTAAATAGTTTTGACATAGTCATGTGTGCAGTGCAGTGCCGGCCGGCTGTACATGACCAAAGCGCTGTGGCCAAAACAACGCGTACTCTACAGACATCGAAATGCTGTACTCGGATAACAACTGTGGTGCATTCAATGTCAAAATTCACCGTGGTCACATCTCTGCTGATGATCACTTTTAAGTTTATTTTGTGTAACCAGGTGATAACTCAACACACAGCATAGTCTAATTTGCGAGAGTGACCTGGCGAATTTGTCTACCAGTCGGCGGCAATGATTGGTATGTATAATCCCAACTGAGCAATTTGAGATTCATTTTCGAATTTGCCAGATTTGGACTCTGTCGCCGGCATGCAATGGGCGACTCTTGCAAAGAATGTCAGGGGATTATTTGGCATCCACTGTGAAGCAGACGGCACATATAGCTATCGTTATTACCCTCACGCTAATAACCAGGGCAGCCACTGGATTCGAACCGTTAACCTCTGCAAGAAGCGGCGACCGTGCTATGGCGAGGCCATGTCAACTGCCCTTTAATGTCGGCATAGGCAACACATTGAAGACACTGCACATGTGCATTCACAACTTCAATACATAAAGCTACCATTGGGCATACTCTTTGGTTCTTTCGGTAAAGTCACGTAGGTGAAAATAAAAAATAAGAATAAAAATAAAGAATAAAATAGAAATAACTAAATTTAATCACGACGTTTCGGAAGCAACAAAAGCTTCCATCATCAGGTGGGACAACCACAGCAAAAAACTAAATTACTGTACCATTGGGCATTTAGATTTAACAATGGCGCACGTATATCTCCTAAATACATCACGGGTTTCAGCTTCATCCAGTTAATATGGAGGCAGCTTTAATTAACTTTCTTGCCATGCAATATTCAATGATCCACTGGGAATGCAAGACAATTACGTATGGATCTCGGTGGTACTGTAGCAATGAGACTTAAAAAAAAACGAGGTCCCCGTTACAAACTGAAAAATCCAATGTGTGCGTGAAGGGACCAGAAAAATATGGCATCTGATCGTTATAGTTCAATACTAAAATGTACACACCATATGTGCTCGCATTCACTGCATATGTACCACACAGTACTTATTGGAGATGACAATGGTTGAGACAGAAAGATACACGGATATAATGAAGTCCCTAATGTATGATATAAATGATTTGGTGATACTGCATTGGCAGTAGTGCTCAAGCACACATCACAAGAAACTCAACATGATTGTCAAGAACATTGTGGCTCTAAAAGAAAAAATATATATAATCAGTGACATTTCAGGCCATGACCCTTTTTCAATGCCATTAAACACAAATGTTTGGAGTCTTTCATACAATATATGATATACGGTGGTTATTTTAAATCAAGGCTTTAGACCTCTTTTATAATTTAGCCCTCTGATTTTATTCTGGCATATTATGATTATTTTACTATTTTATTCATATTTCATTCTTTTTATGTACTGTTATTTTTTTACGACGATTTTTAAAACATTTGTCTTTGCGAACGCTTGTTTTATTTTAACTCACGAGAAGTAGCTTTGAAGCTCGTGGTATGAAAGGCGCTCTATAAATAAAGATTATAATTTACTACCCATTTATGTGGTAAGATAAATATTAAATGACATCAATAGGGTTGTCTAGTGAAAATGTAAAGTAGCATTTGCATTTCCTACACATTACTACATTGCAGTCTCAAAACTATGATTGCAGATCAATGTCCGTAGATAAAATGTCTAAATATAAAACCGTCTATGAACTGTCATGATCATCTATATCCCCTTATTAATCACCTGCTGGAAGAAGGCCTCTTAGTGCCATTCCCATCATGGTGGGTAGTTTGACCATACTTCACCACACTGGTCAGTGTGGGTTGTAAAGAAGGCGATCTATGACTGACTCAAATATCACTCGCCACTTGTGGTGAATCAGACTCCAGCCACCAGATATGTAGGACAGTGTGTGTTTACCATTTAGTCACCAATCCTCTTAGCGTTTACGATGAACCTGAGTGAAAAACAATGGGGTCGTAAGCCAATTATCACTCTGGGGTTGGATAAAAATACGTACCACTTTGCCGGTACACCACAGAGGTTTTCCTACGGGAAGACTGACTCGCACCAGGGATGTCGCGAAGGGGGTTTCGGGCTGGGCCTTGCAACACCAAATGTCCCTTTGGCCTAACCCAAGTTCACTCTCCATAGTGGTGTATCACTATTACAGTGGCCCCCTCCACAAAACCCCTCTACTGCCCCCCCCGCACACCTGCCTCCCGTCCCACGCCCCCATCCGAGAGCTGCTGGTGCTGGACTGAGCTCAAAAACCATTTCCACCACTAGTTAAGGGAAGCCACAGTCGATGTGCACAGCTCAGGTCTCGTTTTCACATGGGACACACGATTTAGAAATGCAGCATCATCAAATGAGCACAAGATACATGTCAAAGAGACAAGTATGCATGTGTGTATACGGTGGAAGCTGGATATGAAGACAGTTCTGATATAAGTAACACAGACTGCACTGGACGGGTGGAGGGAAGGTGACGGGTATCTTCCGATACAAGCACAGGACTTTTAATATATAAGTATGCATGGTACTGTTCCCAAGGGATGTGCTTATATCCATATTGTACTGTATATACATTTTAGTATGCACGCAGTGTTTTTTCCCTCAAAATATGATGAATGCATGCTATATTACTTTATATATTATTAATGTATACTGCAATGTATGTGGTGTGCATGCACATCACATTTGTTCCACAATAAATGCAGGCAGGTGTAATTTGTCTTGTGCTGCACATGTTCTGGCGTTCCATATTTTAGCGTATTTCTTCTCTGAGCAATCACCTTCTTCTGACCAAGAGTGATGTCCTATATTTAGAGAGGCCATTAATCGGCCATGGGGGCTAGCTAGCAAAGCCTGAGATATTACCACAATATACAGCTGCAGGGGGATAGGCTAACACTGGAACCAGTGGCAATTGCCCAACAAATACTGCCCACTGAGCCAAGGTTTCAATTATATTACTTAAATAGACAAGATAAGATAACAACCCCCTGTATAGCCTTAATAGACTTTTGGGGCCTGTGGTGTTCACGGGCACCTTTGAAGGTCAGCACAGCAACCAGTACTCTTCCTTGGAATAAATATTGTCCTCAGTTCAAGGAACTAACCTTTTTGGTGTACACTGCTTCAAGGTATGCACAATATTCATGCCTGTTCCTGACAAATATCCGACAGAAAAAAAATGCTGCTATTTTTTGCCGATTTGGATTATTTGCCATCTAAATTCAGGTCCCACATGCCCAGCTAGTGTGCAAGGTTTACTTTGTGTGTGGGCAGAAACAGATTTTCAACTGATTATCGGCGATATTTTTTTTTTACAAAATTTGACGATTGTTATTCCAGTCAATAATATATATTTTCGGTGAAAACTAAACAATTGGGCATTCTGTTCATAACATATATGGCACTGCTATATCATCAACAAATGCATAACGTCCCACATGGTTAAATCTAAAATCTTTACAGACGGTGTACTGCATAGATTTAGTGAAATTCTAGTGGTTTAAACTGTAGCCGATCGATATGAGTTGCTAAAGAGACAAAGAGGAATATCGAAGTCTGAGAATGATTTAAATAAATATCTCACAAAAAAACCCATTTTTTCATGGGATCATTCTAAGACGAACACTTCAAATGTTGTGAGATGCCTCCGCAATCACTGGCAAAGCACTGTGTAATTCACAGCGACATTAAACAATTCAAATGCGACTCAAAGATTGGCCAGGATGGAGCAACACGTCTCTTTCTGTGACCCCCCCCCCCTGCTTTAGCCTGAACTCCAGCCCCCTGAGATTAAGTTTGGAGACAAAGTGGCTCCATGTGCCAGGGCTAAAATGTAGCCATTTATAGAATCGGTAAAAGTATTTATTTTTTTAGATAAATTGATAAGAACGCCCAGTTCATTATGTGCCGTGTTAGAGTATGCGTCCTGGACCCGTGAATGTCTACAACAGAAAGAAGCCTGGCAATTAGGGGAGAGTTGTAAAGTTCTGTGAAAACAGTAATTGTGTGGGGGGGAAAAAAACAAGATTAAAAATAAAGTATGAGTAGCTGACATGCCCAACACGTTCACTTCATCATCGTGACTTTAAATTGCTAGGTTTCTTCTGCCGAATTTATTATAGACTAAAATGAAGAGCTGAGGCATATAATGAACAGGACACTATTTTCATCCCTTCATTCCAGCAATAGCATGCTGCAGTATAAAAGGCTCCCAAGTATGGGCTGCCACAACTACAAATGATTAATCTTCAATGACAATTGTTTTTTTTGTTGCAGCTACTTTTCCGACCATATGTCTGAAATGTACAATCACGTAAGGGTCGAGAAAAATGCCTCACTTTAGTTTGCAGCTCGTTGTATATCCATCGCTGGATGTAGGCCTGCTAACACTGTCAGTGACGGTACGTATATATATATATTTTTTATCATACTTCACCCCATGGTCAGTGCGAATTGTTGAGGAATGGATCCAGGATCAGGTCAGATGTCACTTGCTGCTTACGTGAGCCATGGCCGGGAATCAAACTCGTACCATCAGGTTCATAGCACTGGGTGCCAACCACTGCACCGCTAATTCCCCCCCACCCCTCCCCCTGACATTGCCTGAATATACAGCCTATTCAATATACAAACTGTGGAAGTAATATCACCAAATATTACGTAAAAATCCCATTTTTTGGCCTTTTTCTTCATGAAAACGGACATCTGCTCATCGAATTCAATATTCATAGCTTAGATGCTGTGTACAGTGAGCAACCCTCAGTTGAACGAGGAAACAATTAAAAGATTTGACATTGCAAGTTAAAGCAAACAATAGCTAATGTAAGTGAAACAGTAGGTGGAAATTAATGGAGCAACAAACACATCGCATTGACGTGAGACGTGACGCAGTAGAGCGTGTTAACATTGCTCATATACAGTAGAACCCCTCTTAACAACCAAAGTGTAGTATATAGTAGTGTAGTGTATAGTGTAGTGTATAGTGTAGTGTATAGAGTAGTGTATAGTAGTGTAGTGTATAGTGTAGTGTATAGTAGTGTCGTGTATAGTAGTGTAATGTATAGTGTAGTGTATAGTGTAGTGTATAGTGTAGTGTATAGTGTAGTGTATAGTGTAGTGTATAGTGTAGTGTATAGTAGTGTAGTGTATAGTAGTGTAGTGTATAGTGTAGTGTATAGTAGTGTAGTGTATAGTGTAGTGTATAGTAGTGTAGTGTATAGTAGTGTAGAGTAGAACCCCTCTCAATGACCACCCCCGTTAACGACTCATCGCCTAACGACGGACCTCCATAGAGCCCAATGTGTTCACTTACCGATCATTCCCCCTGTTAACCACGGACTGTTGAAGGTACAGTAAATATTAAACAATGCATTGATAACCATGTACCTCTTAATATTACGTGTTTATAATGTTGTTAGTATCTTTATGTCTTAACACCCATTGTTTAAATACTATAAAGTAGGTTTATTGGGTCAAAAAGGGTAACATTCGATGCTATCGGAACGAATTAAGCCTTGAACATGTATTTCCTGTACTCGCTTAACGACCGGTTTCGCGGAACCACTTTCCCTCGTTAAGAGGGGTTCTACTGTGTATATTAAATAAGGCCACATGAAGGGTTTGTTTTTTGGGGGGGGGGGGGGGCGGTCCCTATAAAATGAATCTATTCCACAGCCCTTCGCCAACACGCCGGGTGCCCGGGGCTGTGTGAGATGTCCAAACGTTGTTCGTTCATCTCTCTCGCGAAACGATGCCGACCGAGGACGGGTGTGAAAAACAAATTGTGGAGGCCTTTTCGATTGCAAAGAAATGGAGTCGTTACAGTGATAATAACTGGAGTGAGAAAACATGTGGTCAAGACACATTTCTAATGGCACAATTTCTAACAGAACAATTTGCTTCAAAGCAATTTATCATGGATCAATAATCCAGAGCAGCAGGCTTTGAATGACAAGGTCACTCACATTCAAATTCCAGTTAGAGGCCACTCAGCCCATCATCACTCCCTCTGGGTTGGTAAATTACGCACTTTCCAGTCAGCATCACATATTAATATGGCAAGACTTAACGATAGACAAGGCCTGTCATAGGAATGTGGAATTTCCACTTACTGACTTACAACGTTTAACAGAGATGAACACCACCAGGCTCAAATCAGTGACTTTATTCACTTTGCAGATTTTGTAAGAGAGTACTGGTAACTAAGGTCATGATATTGAATTCATTGACCAGATAAGAAGCAGGCATTGTTGTACTTGGCACAAATACCTTTGCACACGAGATATAGCTCAACGATATTGAACAACATCCACTCTTATGTTAAACTGTATCATTGGACAGCCCAGATGCATCTGATATGCAGCTAAGCCATGGATGCATAAATATAAAGATGGTTGGCACTTCGATGCCGTATAAATCCGAACCGTATTCTAAAATAAAATAATCAGCCCACTCGAAACTTTCGTAGCAGCAGAGCCACGTGGAGTGATCTCCCATCGTGTGACGGAGAGTTTGATGAGATGGGGGCTGAGAGAAGACTCCCAATGAGAGGCATCTTCCCCAAGTGTCCAAATAAAGGAAAACGCATGAAGTCTACGAGCACTTACCTGCTTCTAAGTCAAGTGTCCGCCCATTTCAAATTAAAACATTTATAATGTATATAGACCACAGAGAGATATACATCTATATTTATGGTGAGATGACACACATTTGTGACGATGGAGTGGGGGGGGCAGTGGTTTAGTTATCAGGAGTGAGGCAAGATGGTCTACTCATATCATTACAGTGCATCATTGCCATCACAGCAGAAACGCACACGCTGTGGCTCAGACTGCTCTTGAGTGCCTGCGTGCACATCAATCAGCGAACGTGTGGGAGGGGGGTGTGGAAGGAGGAGGGGGGGGGGCATGTGATGGTCAGGGCTTGCAAGGGTGACACAGGGGGGGGGGGGGGGTTGGGGGGCTCGTAAGAGGAAACGTGGCAGAGAAGAAGGCATCCCACCTACCCATTTCTCCATGTCAACCGGCTAGCAAAGGGGGGGGAAGGCAAAACACAGGAGTCAGCGGTGGGTCGCTGAGCTTTGTCATCACTCACACGAGGGTTGGGTTAACAAGACACGTCCGCCTGCGCCATTGACAACGACAACACAAGAGCACAGGTAATGAGACTGTGAATGCAGGCGACTATAAGCTCTGGACTACCCGTACCATCGTTACACAGTGGGGGTTTACATTGAGTGGTTAAACAACGTTGAAAATGACATCTCACTGATGTAGATACACACAAATAGAAGTGCCGTTGTATGGGGTAAACTGTATTTACGGTGAGGTGCGTCCGTTTGACCAAACTCGTGGCACTTACCTGTCCGGCCCACTTATCAGTTGCCATGGCATGATCGCAGACACACAGAGGCCATCCTATGCAAACACTGATCTTCGATGATTAGGCTGCCTATATGTCACATGTTACAGAGAAGCAATCCATGGTACACTCGTAAACAGTACTTCTAATACCGTCTCTTCCCCAATCACCGCTATTCCAAAAGCCCTAGATAAGTGATGGTAACAAAATATTGCCCAACCATGGTAAGTGTCAAGCTGTAACATCAAGTACTTGCTTAACCATTAATATATAGAAATTCTTCCATAAAACAAATATTTGCGATAAGTCAATGCATTTTATTGGGCCACAAAAACTATATTGCAGTAGGTAGGAGTCAAATAAGATGGAAATTAGGTACACACAAACAGCAGTGGAAACATAGGTTAAGAAATGTTAAGAAATCACCGTTCCCAGTGTCTCTGATGCGAATACACCTCATCATCACTCTATTCCTCGTGCCAGATCCTTCTCAGCTGTCGTACAGTAATGCACCTGGCCTCCAAGGTTCACTATTACAGTTATCAAACTACCAGGCCTTTGGTCTTTTCTTTGGTCTCTGGCGGCACGGTTCCTAGAATCCAATGCTGTCTCATGAATGTGCCCTCCATCCTGCAGACATGTCTGAACCATAGAAACCTCATCTCATTGATGAGGTGTACGGAACTCAATAGCACATTATTGTACTTTGCTGCAATTTTGTAATTCGGATTTCCAAGTTATTTACTTTATCCTGCCACGAAATGCAAATCAACCTCTGAATGCACCTACACACAGAGAGGCCAGGTACGTGCAGTTGCTTTGTTCAAGTCCAGAGATTATTTCATCAGATCAAAATGTCCTTTTCATAATGATATCCCGTGCTGCACAGTTGGCAAGTGCATTAGACATACACTGAGTAAAATGCACAACTACACTGACAAGGTTGATAGTAACGAAAGTGTAATGTGCCTGACATGACCACCAGGAGAGGCTTGCGCTTTGGCTTCACGATAAGACATTGTGCTGTTATTTCTATACATGTGAACATGCACACGCACAACCACACTGGAGCCAACGCAGGCACTCAATCATATAAAAAACCCTGAATTGCAATCCTACACTATCTTCCTGTGCATGGTGGAGGAATTCCAAATTTACAAGCATCTTCCAGACCTCAATGCGCGCGGTGACAATTTTTTTTTATTCGGACAATTAGGCCTAAATTATTTTCAGTGCATGACTGGTACTAAAACAACTCACTGGGATGGATGGATCGACAGACATACGTACAATCAGACTAGCAGACATACGTAAATATATGCTGACAGAGAGAGAGCGAACCCTATCTCCTAATGTGAGCTATTTCTAAAGTTCCATAATTTTTAATGTGCCATGAATAGTTGATAACGCATACATAGGGATGTGCCAAGTACACTTATAACAGAGATGTACAGTGGACCACTGCCCGGTCTCTAAGCCACCACCCACTGTGTTTTCATCCCTGCCTTTGCTGCCGCTTATATTTCATCGACCAGAGGTCATGGTGGGCCTTGACCTTCAGAGCTTGTTAGTAACGCAACGATTTGTGGGGTCACCTTACAGAGAGTCAGTGCACAGACACGGGGAGGTCTGCACTCCACGGGACCCTATTTTACAGGCCTGACATCCCTTTGTGGCCAAAGTACTACTGTGCTCCTTAAAAACGTCTGATGCATGTAAATGTCGATATAAAGAAGGCTCCACATATAAACTTTGACAAACGATTGACTGGGTCACTTGAGGCTCACGTTGACATGAAGATGAGGTTCAGATGGCAGATTATTGTCTGCTTTGTACGGGACCATATTCTATTGCTGTAAATTAAACAAGATAATTGAAAAGTGACATTTGATGTTTTTTATTGACTTTGTGATCTTGATTGTAGCACTAATTAGAGGTTTTTTTTGCCTCATCACAATTAATGTTCCTCATTAACTTCCTTTGTTCTTCTTTCTAACGTGGTGATGGTTTGATAATAACATGGAAAAACAAGTTCGTGGATCTATAAATAGAACAGTTACTCATGAAATAAGTATATCTAAATGAAAGTATTTAACAACCTAGAAGTTCTTATTATTGTTTGCAGAAACACGTTTTTTGGCCAATTTTATTTTTAATGGCCAAATCAGCTGAACATTTGGAATATTTACTGACATTTCCACGAACTATCTTGAGACACTGCCCATCACGTGAGTGAAGCCTCTTTAGCAAAGGAGAATTGTATTAGTTTCAACCACTGCAATGAAAATTATTACAAAGTAGCAAATATCTCCGACAGTAATTTGGCAAAATAAATCCAAGTGGTACGAATAAAATAAGAAGAATAACGGACAAGCATGAGGGGCCAAATTATAATTATAAAACTATTACTTTTACTAAATTCGCTGACTAACTGTTTTGTCTCATCCATACCATAAACACACTGGAGGTCAAGAACAATTATCTTTCTGATTTTTTACCTTACACTAATACAAAAGTAATCTTGTAATATAAGTACTTTGAGGTAAGAAGGCAAATGCACAGGAGGGGTGTATGCAATTTTGGAATGGGCCAAAGCAGTTGAGAGATTAGAAGTCACTTAGCGCAAGGAGAGCGAGGATGGTTAAACATAGCATTGTAATTTTAGGCACAAATTAAATCACGTGGGATAATTTTTCCAATTGAAAGCGTTTGAGCATTTTTTTAGGCAGATTTACAACTATGGAATGTTTTACTGGCTTCACACCTGTTTCAATAAAACCACTTCAATGAGGTACTCTTTCAAACTGAATTCCACAGCAACGTATCGCCAACAGGCCAGCTGTATCCGTGGATGAATGGTGTTTCATTTTCAGTTTAACATTTTTCGCACACGAGTGACTGGGAAAATTGTCTTAGCTATACTCTACATGGCACATATTCGAGTCAAGGTGATCAGCATTTGTGATCGCAGTAATCATCACAAAACAGCACTGGTGACTTGAAAGTTGTGCTTTTATGTACTGCAGCACGTACGACATAAGAAACATCTACTTGATTTGGAAATGCATCTCAATAGTCAAGAAGGAAACCTCCAACAGGCAAATTGATTGTAAAGTAAGTGCTAGGAAACCAATATCTAAGTCGAAAAATGGCAAACCCTCTGTATGTGACACCATCTTGAATCTCATAAAATATCAGGTCTCCCATTATCTTCCTTCCACAGTTCCGGAACAATAACAAAATCCGGGGCTTTTGTTTGGGGCCCATTGAATGCGTTATTACTCTCTTGTCAAATGCAGCCAGGTGGAGCTGTGACAATTCCATCCACGCACATTGTAATTGTTGGTTAGCACATTGGACTTGCAATCCAGAGGTCACCGGTTCAATGTGACCTCCCGGTGTGGCAGTTGAAACGATGGTGCAAATGTCTTGAAGCTTCCTGCCCTCTGTCCACCGCACAGTATAAATGGTGGCACTACAGTCAGTCGATTAGCAGGGACGTGTGTGGTGGGGCAAAGTGTGTACACTTTCACCTCTTCCAAGACATCTGGCCAGTGTGGGAGAGCAGGCCAAATACCCTCTTACAGAGGAACTCCCTAGAGCTCCCATCTCATGGAAGCTGTTCTGCCAGCAGTGGCGTGGACCAGGAATTGCAGGGCTGCACCTTTAGCCTTTTTTTAGGGCACGCTTTAATTTAGAATGAACATAATTCAAAGAAATAATTAAGTGGATGGGGTGGCAATGAATCAGTAAATCGTCGCACTCCACTAGCTCCGTTACTAAGCAACATAGTGAGGTGCAGCACATGTTAGAAGGCTTCATCGTCAACAAATTGACACCATCGATCTGCCCTCTGTGACGATTGCTTAATAGGTAAATACATCAATTTGGTTATATTAGCCCCCTCCCCCAACCTTGTTTCTGCGTGGTTGGAGGCTAAAGGTAATTCCTACAGTTAATTAATACTGGATACATTTTCATTTGGGTAAATACACGTTATGTGAGATGCGGACGGCTTACAGTACCTTATATCAGTATTTGTCGAGTGTTCAAATTTGGCGAAACACATTAGCGAGGAAAAATAGGAATCAAGCATGTTTCAGTTGGCTGGGTGGAACTCTGGTTAGAATAATCGTCAAAATCAGAATCCTGGATGGACTCCGAGGTTGATAAAATGGTGGGAAGTCGACATTGGTCATCCTCTAGACAGACTGATACCCACAACAGAAATATGGAATTTCTGCCACTGGCTCACAGCCTCTTACCAGACATATCTAACATTTAAGATGGTCAATATCAAAATGAAATTTAAGAGGTGCTGCCTTGGAGAATTCCAGACAATAGTTCAAGAGATAAAAAGCAGGGATGTCCATACTATTGGCATTGAAGGCCTGATAGATTGACTAAGCTGCTAAGAGCTTCGGGCCAGAGACCTATAATAAAGAAAAAGAGAGAGAGAGAGAAGATAGATGTATTAATACTAATAAGAGAGATATAAAATAGGGAGGGTGAGAGGGATGTATAAAAAAATATATAAGATAGATATGAGAGATGGGCTATGGGGCATCTTAGAGAGATGTTCACAAACAGATATTAGAGATGATTGTTTGTACTTCACTCATGAAACGTGCACTGATGTTCATCCCTTTCCTACACGGGAAACCATTAAAACTCAGCCCGTCATGCATCATGTGACTGCAAAGGCTATATTCTTACGTAGATGGTTAACTTAATTTTATTTCTAAGCTGCAGAGAAGCGTTTCCAATTGTAAGTTTGAGTGATGCCAAAGCCAAGCTTAAATGAGCCCTTGGGACTCAAGTATGGACAGCCCTGACCTAAAGGAACCGAGGTTTAAATTGACAAATGGACTTTCCGGATCAACGCATCTCACCGTTTGCTATGAATGTCTCGTGCTCAATTCTGGGCTTGATAATGTGCATGGGTGGCTTTTGAGATAACACCAGAGCCACCCAGTCACAATCGTCTCAAAGGACACACCATACCGTTGAGAGACTCAATTGTTCTAGATTTGAAGCTTTCGTGACTGCAATGATTCATATCCTTAGGTTTTTTTCGGTAAAGTCACGTAGGTAAAAAACATTAAAAAGTAAAATAAAATAAAAATCACGACGTTTCGGAGGCAACACAAGCTTCCGTCTTCAGGTGGTACCGTCACAGCCACGACAGCTGTATCAAGTAAATGAGAGATTACAGGAGTTACCACTGCGTTTATATAATGGTTGGAGAAGGTGGCGGGGCATGGGCCGCATCTTTATTATTAATATGGTAAGGTGAGGCTTGAGACTAAGACTCAATTGTCCAGAGTTTTCCTTGATTGAACTAATTCTCCTGGGTCACATTGATCCAAAAGGCCGATTGGCCAACAGAAGGAATATTATTTTTTATTTTATTCGTTAATTTAACAATACTGTCACATTTTTATTTAGTTTATTGCATTTTACCGGTTCAGTCAATAAGATAAAGACTCCACAATGCGGTATTAGATGACGTGTGGTTATAATGTATGACCCCTGCTTTCTCCGTTTAGATCAATCGACTTGGAATTTTCTGCTAACAACTTTAACTGGGCATTTGAACCACAGTTTGAAATATTTTTCTCGCCACAAAAAAACAATTTTAAAGGCCTTTTCTTGATTCTAACTAATTATATCAACCCACCTTCCTTTATTTGATAAAGCACAAGCCGGTTACACAAGCTTTTATCCAAACGAAATTATTTTGCTACGAAGTGTAAATAAGCTTCATGACACATCAAATGCAAGATCGATTATCCATGAGCAGTTTAATATCACGGTATCAGGACCAAGTCGACAAATGAACAATGAACGGTGCTTATATGTTGGTGGCCTTGAGCCAGCTATGAAAATGGAATATTCCTATGTCGAGGGGAGGGGGGGTCATCCTTTCCAAAGCTTATATTTTCTATACATATGTTGTAAATTTCAATTCTCTTTGGTTCTTTCGGTAAAGTCACGTAGGTATAAAATAAAATAAATTAAATCACGACGTGACCCACTTCAGCAATTATTTCTTGCTGTGGTTGTCCCACCTGATGACGGACGCTTGTGTTATGCCCGAAACGTCGTGATTTAATGTATTTTGTTTTTTATACCTACGTGACTTTACCGAAAGAACCAAAGAGTATGGATCTCTGCAGTCACGAAAACTTCAAATCTAGATTGTATTTTTCAATTCAGTGATAGTTGTGAAGTTTTGGGGATTTAAATTACTTGGATTTTAAAATATGTTCTATAACATTCACAATTTCCTTCGAGGGTAAAATAGTGAAACTTTATAAAGGATGTGGATTTAACAAAGCAAGTGCCCCCAATGTCCTTAACATTGTATTCTTGTTCCAGCTTGTTATGTTTTATGTTATTGTATTGCATCATATAAAAAATATATATCATTGAATTATTGCCTGAAATAACCTTAAAATGAATGTTTCTAGATTAATTGTGGAGTCTCATTAATAGTAAAAATAATACTAACTATAATCCCTCCAGTAGTGAGCAGTACAACAAAAAGGTGTTCTCTCCTCGTGCACAGTTTTTGCAGACAATCCAGATTATCTCCACGTACAAATATAAATTACAAACTAAATAAATACATTTTAAAACGAATCGACCAAAAACCTTGAGCGGGACACTCCTTACAAGAAAATATTAAGATTTGGTGTGCCTTTCGTGGATAATGATTGTATTAGCATTATCGTCATCAGAAGATTCTGCACATTGAATGAACTGCACATGACAGACAGACAAGATTTGGAATAACGCAGTATCCTGTTGGATAAAACAAGAATCATTCTTTACGAGAGAGTGCGACTGTCAACAAGCTGGTCCATTATTATAGGAGGCAGACTGCCGGTTTCCTGATTGCTGCCTGATTCACCTAACAACTTCCTTCGCTTGATTGCATGAATTGATTGCATGGCACAGCCAGGTAACCTCGCATTTTCTGAGTGCTCACCGTGCTAACAAGATTTGCAAATGAAATCGTGGGAGCATGCCAGCAGGACAGAATGTCCTCATGGCAAAAAATTATATCTATGGCTAATACATTACTGCTCACCTAAAGTAGTTGTTGCTGCACTTAAATTGATTCCCATAGCAGTGGTTCTTAAAAAATATAATGGGTTTAATGCAAGGGGTTTAATTCCGATTATTACTATTGTGCAGCCCAGGGTGACGGGACTGAAATGATCAACTCTATGCATATAACATGGTTTTACCCCTGGTGGCTGACCAGCATTCAGTAGAACTGATGCAGTGCTCCTAACACAGGTAACGAACCATCTGAACCGCCCATCGCTAAGTCATTTTAAAAGATAAACGAGCCCCATATGAAGTAACATTGAGGTCTGAAATTGACACCATGGTTAATGGATACATATATAGAGACACGTGTGTCCAGCTGGGTGGCATTGGTGGCAAGTCGCTAAATTGGAAAAATTGCAGAGTTGTGAGTTTAAATTGTGATTGGGAATCGACCCCTGCTCCATCATCCCTCCTGGTCAAAGAAAATTAGTACTACTTATATATTCAGAGTGATGGGGCAAAATAGGAATCAGGAATTTCAACAGCTGGCTCAGGACTACCAAAGGAAATGAGTGGCACTTCTATAACTCATGAGAGTATCAGGACAATTACTTTTCATATGGACTATGATAAACTGAATGGATGGCTAAATCAACAATTACAATGTGTGTGTGAATGGAAACTAGGCCATTCTTAGGCTCATATTCTTAGTCACGGCTCAGATCCGGCTTGGCTCTGGGTCAAGTAAGCCGGCTCAAAGCCACGTTTAACTTGAGCCGGCTCTGATCACGGTCCTATCCACGCTAAGAATTTACATGAGCTGAGCATGAGCCAAGCCATGGTTGAGCCACTCATGCATTGAAAGTAAATGAGCTGCTCAAGACTGAGCCGAGCCGTGTTAGAGGCCAAGCCCAAGCCCAAGCTGGGCCACAACTAAGAATACGGCCCGTATTGTCTTTCAACTAATTTATTATAGGTGAGCAATGTGTGACTGGCCTCCACCACACGAGGCTCGATCTCATTCCAGATTCCTGCCAAGTAGTACCTGTCTCCGTTCAGATGCGATGGTACACAAAGACCTCTGCTTACGGGAATGTGATTGCGTATAAAATGTTTCCCGTGATACACGTTTCATTTTCGATGCCTTTAATTCATCGTCTGAGCTTTCAATGAAGCCTCATCCGTTGCCAAAGAGAAGGCTTAACCTTTCTATTTGATGAACAAGCCTTTTGCTGAGGAATCTCAGCCACTGTGCAGACTCGTACGCTCGCTGTGCCTTCACCCATGTGGGATGGAGCACATGCACACCACGCCCACGCAGCTGGGCTGCTCGCAGGAGCACAGGCGCTCAAGACAAAGATCCCCTGTAATGGCTAAATAGACTTTTGTGACAAGTGCTGTGAGTGAGCACCTATGAAGGCCAGCACTGCGCACGAGGCTGTGGATGGCAGGCTCCTTACCTCGCCACCTGTGTCATCCTTCATGGCGATGTTTACACATTGCACCAGATACTCGTTCAAGGCTGAGGCCCAAGCCCTGTTCAGATAATCGTCACTGGTGTTGGCCATGAGCGGGGATTGAACCTCGGGTCACCGGGTTCGTAGAGCAGCGAGCTAACCGCTACACTACCACTCCCCACAATGTCAAGGCCATGCACACACGCACAAACACACACGCACAAACACACACGCACAAACACACACCCTCACACACATCGGCCACTCACCCCCTCTGCCTTCTCCTCGGTGTTGGCCAACATCTCCTGCAGTGCTCGCACAGGACAGCGACTGTTCCAGCACAAACTTGCAGATGGAAAGGTCAGGAGGAACATTCTGCAACAGCCAAAGAAGCCAAAAACCCATTATCAGCACCACAGTCACACAATGCACAGGGATGACATGTGTGCTGCAGCTTCAAGAAACGAAATAAAAACCTTTGTGTCAAAACGATCAATTTTTTTTGTTTGACTCAGCATTTCTCCCCGAGCAACATTTAATCATCTTATTGAAAGCGTCGCTGGCTGAGTTAGGAGAGAGGATTGTGTTTAGATTGAAGCAAAATGTCTGAACCAACCTAATTATCAGTCAATCATAGGCACAAAAAAATCTATCTCACAAAGCAACGTGTCTTTACCGATGGCATTCATTGAGTGGTGGGAAGCCATAACATCAAACAAAACTGGGAAAAAAAACATCTGAGGGCGCCTAGACCTCCTGTTGCACCAGGACCTGCTCGACTCTCCCACGAACTCAACTGAGATCCCGGAAACCAATCTGGGATGGGGCGAGACAATTGGATGAAGCGGGGTCAACTGAGGACCACTGCCGGACACCGTGGAGTCCTGCCGATGTTCCGAACAAAAGCCTCGTCAAGGGCACCACCCCACTGTTCCACGTGGCTTTGTTGTGCCAAGAAAACTGTGGTGGCTCGATCAATCGCTGCAAAACATTAAAGATGACCCACAGTGTGACTGCAGCCACTCCAACGAAATAATGGACCAGATCACGAACAACTGCATTCTATGCCCGGGTCTCCGATGGATTGGGTAGCACATTTTGTTCCAGGAAGGTGCCACAACTTTTAAGCTAAAAAATAAATCGTCATGCTAATATCATGGGACCTTTTTTTTGTCAGTATCAAAGTATGAGAAATAAGAATAGGTTTTACCTTTACTGGCAATAATACACGTGTTAAGATGTTCAAACACCAAATAGAAACCTATTTTTACGTTTGATACTTTAACACTGGCAAAATAGGTCCCACGATATAGCTGCTCACCCCAAGTGTTAAATACTCTGATATGTGTGGCATTGTCCTTGTGCTGTTTGCCTTTTGGCGTTCTCTGGTCTGACACTGGTGAGACGAGGCCATACAGAAGTCTGTCTCTGGTGTAGGCCAATCAGTTTCAAGGGCAATGCCATATATTATCAGAGCATGTATTTGTTTGAACGTTCACCACAGGTACGCGTGGTTAATGCAGACTTGATTCCTTGCAAAAGGTTTCTGTTTGGTGTTTGCACATCTTAACACCTGATTTATTGCCAGAGAGGGTAAAACCTATTCTTATTTTTCCATGAGTCATGCTACTCCCGAATATATTATCACACAGCTCTCAAACTTAAACCTGGATCTATAATTAACGCATACTGTACTTGCCATAAGCAAGACGAAGGATTGTGCATCAATTTGCGGAGGACACAGTGCTGTGTTACATCGAGACACAGAGAAGTGAAATCAGTAGTCAGGTAGGGAATGTTGCATCGTAGTGCGGTGCACATTGAACGTAGCAGACACTTCGTTTGTTCGTGAGAGTGCAGAGTACAAGAAATTCCCAAATGGATGCCATGAGTGAGATATGATACATCGCCTGGCATCATTATGGAAAAAAGAGCTGCATAGCTCATCAGATTCCCTCCCGAGTCTAAATTTAAAACCATCTGATTTTGACGTGTGACACTAAAGTGGTGCCGGGTTTTTGCTGGCAGTCCGTTTGCGGCGGTAACCATGGCAACGACGGTATCAAAAGTTGTCTCCCTGCTCATTGCCACTGGAAGCTTTGAGCCAATAGTGTCACAACCACTGGTGGTTTTCCCAAACGAGTGTTTCTTATTTTGCTGGCTCAAAAATATGACGAGCTGAGCGAACCCGGTCCGAAATTTGAGTGTTTTATGAATTTGCCACCAGGCTGGAAACAACACCATCGTGGTAGGACACGCTTCGGTGTAGAAAAACACCGCAAGTCCAGACACAGGGTGCTGGTCGGCTACCACGGGACTGTGTACCAAAGCGAAAGCGTGGCGAGGAGTGGTATAGAGTGAATTTCGATTTAAAGCTTTCGTGACTGCAAGGATTCATCTTCTTGGTTCTTTCGGTAAAGTCACGTAGAAAAAAAATTAAACATAATACAATACAATTCTCACGACGTTTCGGCCACAACGCAAGCAGCCGTCCTCAGGTGAAGAACAGATCTGTCGGAAAGACAGCGTCTGAATGAAAGACAGCATCTGAATGAAATTCATTCAGACGCTGTCTTTCTGACAGACCTGTTCTTCACTTGAGGATGGCTGCTTACGTTGTGGCTGAAACGTCGTCAGAATTGTATTTTATTATGTTTTATTTTTATTATTTTATTATTTCCCTTCTACGTGACTTTACCGAAAGAACCAAGAATATGGTATAGAGTAGTCATAAACCTAAGGCTGGGGGACAGTGGCCCTCCCACGGGACACATGGTGCGGGTGAGGCGCAGGTGAGGCGTGGGTGAGGTGTGGTCGTACCTTGGCATTGGAGATGGACTCGAGGAAGCAGAGACGATTCCCAAAACCCTCGGCGGCCAAGCAGAACTTGAGCTGCTCCTTCTGTATGTTGGCCGTGCTCTGCAGCACGACCTCATCCTCCTGGATGCGCGGGGACACAATGGTGGCGGTCGTCATGGCAGGTCAAGGGAGGAATTAAGTTATTGAGTGTGCAAAGGGGGCTTGTGAGCATAGGTAATTGCCTCTGATTGATGATCATGATTATCATACCACAGCAATGTGATGCTGTAAGCGGTTTCACATCATGTCTGTAGGTGTGTACACGTGAACGTGTATGGGTGTGTGTGTGTAGGCACTGTGAGTGGTGGTCCAGTGGTTAGCGCATTGCAAGGGGTTTTACCCGAGTTGGATTCCCAGCCACAAATAACATCAGGAGCAAGTAATATCTGAACAGATCCTGGGCCTATCCCGAGTTGAATCAGCCTCAAAATGAGTACCTGGTACGGTGTGTAAAGATTAGCACTGGGAAGACAACAGTGGCTGGATGAGGTGCTTGCCACATCACCATTTGTTGTGCCTTACTGGCCTCAATAGGTGCTCGCCAAGAGCACTTGTCCAAATTAATGAAGGGGGCAAACTCTTTCTTTGTGGGGCATGACATTTTTTTCGTAGTGTGAATGTGCGCACGAATGGATGAGTGCCTGTGTATATGTGTGTTTAGGCCTCCATACGTGCTCGCTAACAGCACTTGCCCCAACAGCCTGTTAAAGATATACCGGGGATATTTGTACTTTTTGTTTAGGCATATGGGGAGTGGTAGCATAGTGGTTGGCACGCTGCGCTACGAACCCGGTTCGCACAAGTTCGATTCCCACTCACGGCCAACACCAGTGACGAGTATCTGAATCGGTACCTGGGTCTCCCCTCGGTCGACTTAGCCTCAAACGAGTATCTGGTGAGATGTGTAAACATCGCCACTGGGTAGGACAAAGGGCGTGGTGCTGGCCACCCACCCCCTCATGTGCCGTGTCGTGTGAGGTTATACGGTGGAACTTTGTCTTTGTTTAGAAATAAGGTATTTGTGTATGTGTGTGTTTACACATGTGTAATAATCCTTCTGAGACGGCTTTGAAATCGGTCCTCTTTATTTTCACTTCCACAATACACTTTACTCACACACTCTCCGTTGCTGGCAGACAACAGAGAGCGGGCAGACTTCACACCAGTTCCCACCGCGCACGTGGCACCCAGAACCCCCTTACGCGCGTGGCTCTCGCTCTCCTCGTTCCCCAGTCTGCTCTCGATCGTTCTCTCTCACTCTCTCTTAATCCCTTCATCACGTGGTCCCCCCAGCCAATCCTCCATGGACAGCCTTGACCATTCTCGATGGTTCCCTGTCAATCCCGGGACCACGCCTCTCATCCGGCTCCCCATTAGCTGGGGCCCCGGATGGCTAGGCCAATCACCCCTGCTAACACGCCGTGATCACGCCGGGGCCACGCTCCCTATCTCAACCCTTATTGGCTACAAAGCAGGACCGGCAAGCCAATCCCCACGTGAACCCTCTATGGCTGTTATTACACATGTATACAATGCGTGTGAAAGGAGAGCCCTGATTATGAATCCCTTAACAAATGGACACATCTCCAAAAAAAGGCAAAGCCATTCATCATGCTTATTTGCCCAGAGCTGCATTTGCCATCTTCAAATATACAATTGTTATCACGTTCACGCTCACATACACATTAGACACATACAGTCAACACTGTACAAATACAGTAGGTATCCTTTTATCCATGCTCCTATTATCCCCGACGACTGTTAATCCATGCCCTGAATGGATCCGTAAAACTCCCTATTATCCGCCGAGTACATTATTTCCATTATCTGTGTTCATCAACGGGTAAGAGGTGCTCCTAGAAGTGATTGAGGATAAAAGGAGTCACGAAGCAACCGTTCCTCTTATCCGTGGTGGTTAAGGGGCACATGAAGGTGGCCATCAGGGGTGCTAAGAACAATGGTATTATTGTCATCATCATCATACAATGATATCATTCTGATGGATTCATGATTATGACGATGACGATGATAATGATCGTACCATTGCCGTCGCTGTTGCTAAGCGGTCTCCCGCCATGAACGGTTCTTCACCAAGTGCAGTTTCCCCACTGTGTGCTTAGTGCAGTCATTTGCGCTGCACATGCAAGACGAGAGAACACGTCCCAGAGGACCATCGTGGAGATGGAGCAATGAGATCAGCTCATGGGCGGGGGTGAGATGGATTGTGACATCGGAGGACTGTGAACGATGGCAAGTAACATGGCGAGGTCTTCATCCAGCAGCGGATAGACAATGACTGATGACTATTGTCTACTGGGCATCTGTGAAAAAGTAGCTTCAGAGCTCGTAGGAATCCTCCGGTCTAAATAAAGATTCTGATTCAATGGTGAGGGATATCCAAAACCAATTTTGCACACACCACGTCACCAACCTGCGGTAACCAGCATTGTGAAATATGACAGCATGTGAACGATTGGACTCCACGATAAATAAATGAAATATCTTCACAACCTGTGCAAGTTGCTGAAATCGCACCAGACTGTGTTTGGGATTATTCAGATCCATCGTAATTGTTAAGGCTCCAACATCCAAAATATAAGATTATAAACCTAACGGGAGATATATCTCAAGCCATCGGGCACAGCTGTCTTGTTTCATTTACGATGCACAGCAGCGTGCAATGCACATGGAATATCTGCATGCGCCTAGTGACACTAGCAATGAGATCGATATATAATTAGATATCGATATGTAATTAATTAGATATCAATTTATAATTATAAATATATAATTTGAAATTTTCCTCGATAATTAGTGAAAATTACAAAATTCGACAAGTCTTACTCAACGCTGACATACAGTGACATGCACGTGTGAACAGCGTTAAATTGTCTTCATGATTTAAATGTAATCAAAGTGCATTTTAGGGAGCCCTGCATCACTAGAAGGAGGTTGGACTTCACCTATTCAGATAACTTTACATATTCCTAAATTATAATGCTTTCGTCACTTGGTCACCCGGCCATTCTTGGCCACTTGCCACTAAGCAAAGGGCTTGATTTAATACAATTTGTTTTCAAATCTGATCATTACTGAAAACTGAGAAGTGAAGATCACCAAGTAAGTTTTAGAAAGATCCCTACTGCCACAAAAATGCAATGAAATATATGAAGTAGCAACATGAAAATCTACAACCTTTCAGTACAAAATTTGTATCAGTGTAATACGCCTGTTTATATTTATTCCTTAACCAACACAAGAGCCACTATTGTTTGTAAAATTAATTGCTTTATCTATGCTCTTTATTTACCGAAGTAAAATTCGACTGCATGTATTGTCGATTTTTCAAGAAAATCCTGGGCTTTCGTCATATTCATTAGAAAAATTGTGTTTAGAGTCAGTTTTAGCTTATGTAAGGCACACACCAAGGCATATTCTTGCATGCAATTATGGTACGTGGCTTTGCAGGAATCCAAACATTGACTTGATAAAAAAAAATATTGTTGAATTCACAGATTAGCAGCCGCTGCTGCTCCCGTATGTATCACCATATTATTTTAAAGTAATTTTGTATTGGCAGTGCCATCAAAGGGGCTTGTGCGGGCAACGGAGCATTCGGCAAATATGATCCGACTGTATGAAACTATATTCCATTAGCTCTTCAGTCATGTAACTTTATGTCTAGTTTAAGTTCGGCCTCAAAACATTGAACTTTCGTGAGGAATCTTAATCATCCTTCACGAAGGACGAAAATAATGCGCGTGGTCAAGAACACTCATTCACCGCCCTCCGCCGAACCAGTGCCAGACGAATGCCTCTCCACGCCACGTCTGTTATGGGGGTTGTTTGCCCATACTTCACCACTCAGTGTGGGTTGGTAAAAGGTGTGAGCCCAGAACCAGTTCAGATATCACTTGCCCACTTACGATAAGCCTTTGCCGAGAATCAAACTCAGGTCATCGGGTTCATAACCCAGTGTGCAAACCAGTGTCCACTATTCCCTCTGTACGCAACTTGGATGAGTCCGTGTGAATGACTTCTGCATGTGGTATGAGAGAGGTATGAAGGATGTGTGTTCTGTAAACGTTACTGGTTAATATTACATTTATAATGTATCGCCAATATTATCAGTTGCGTGACAATCACCGTCGGTGATATCATAATCACTCATTATCAAATATTTCCATCCAGCAGCTAAACATTTTCAACAGAATTCAAATTAAAATACTGCGGAATGAATGCCAAATTATATGTCGGTAAGAGCTGCTTGACGCAGGTCGAGGGTATTTATAGAAAGCCAATTGCTGTGCTAAACAAGGGAGAATGCATGGCTAATTTAAGTGCCTTCTAAAGTGCATTTACAACAATAGACCGGTAAGTAGCAAAGTCATAATATCACGTGGCTCCAGATGGTGAGGCCTATGCCTAACCCAAGGCCACCAGTGGCTCACCTTCAGCAGCCTTGCCCACACCTTTCTTGGCAGTAGCAATGCATTCTCAAGACATATTGGGGATATCACCGAGGTTGGCAATCAGATTGCAGCTCAGAGGTCGCAACCGGGTACCCGATACCCGTACCCTACCCGATACCCGGCTACCCGTACCCGGCCGGGTACGGGTACCCGTTTGCAACCCTGGTGCGGCCGGGTACGGGTACGGGTAGGCCGTGAGTCACTGGTGAGTAGCCGTTTGTCACTCATTTCGGGTAGGGTACGGGTACGGGTAGAGTACGGGTACCCGTACCCGGCCGAGTACGGGTACCCATTTGCGACCCTGGTGCGGCCGGGTTTGGGTACGGGTAAGGAATCAAAACCCGTTTGTAACCTCTGCTGCAGCTTGCAAATCTGACTGGGAATCTAAATGCAGCTTTGGAATGTTACTGCAGCTTGGAGATACCACTGGGTATCTCACTGCAGCTTGATAATCTGACTGAGAATCTCAGTGCAGCTTGGAAAACTCACTGTTGATTGGGAGTCTCGTGCACATGGCGGTCTCTGAGCTATTCACCAACCCTCAACTTTAAAGCACTGGATTGCAGGCGTATGCCCACGGAAATTTATTTCAGAATTTAATTATCTTCG